AAAAAAAAAAAAAAAAAAAAAAAAAAAAAAATTGACAATATTATTTTAAAAAAAATTTTATTTTTTTTTACTGTAAGGAATAACTTGTTTAGATAGTATTCATAAGCACAACCGAGTTACAGCATTCATTAAACTACTTGCTAAACACCTATCAAGCAAATCTTTCCTCCAACTACTTTTGATAAAAGCTCAGCATAATAGCAGTAAATAGAGTAAGAACTTTGCTGCCCCTAATAATTTTTGTTCTTAAAAATCTTATTTTTTATTAATTTAGTGAAAACTAAAATAAAATGACAACTATTATGTGTTCCGAAAAAAATATAAAATAGCTACGGACTGTTTAAAATACCTAACAAGCAGTAACTAATAATTTTATAGAAATTTATTGGCAGTGATGACAGTCATGAAAAAAACAACACCCATGAAAAACCATCCACTTAAATTCTCCTTACCTTAGCATTGGCTAACGTGTCTGTTTTTTTTTTTTTCGTTACTTGACTGTCCCCTCTAAAGAAATTTACTGACTGCTAAAAAAAGCGAAAGAATATAGTAAAATGCACTTTCCTTCCAAAACTCCATGAAATTCTCTTGTTTATATCGTGCAGACTATTGTGCTTTTATAAGTTTTTTTTAACTGTATAGTGATGATTATCCGTCAAAACTATTTCATTCAGCTTCCAGAAAGAGGAATCCCTTCAAAAAAGTTTACGGCTGGTTTTGTCGAACAATTTTCACACGAGCCCAAAAAAAGAAAAAGCAGTAACACCGATGTAAGAAAAAAGCTCGGAAGTTCACAGGGAATTGTTAACTGTTTACCGAATGACAAACAGGTAACATCTATAGACCACGTAAAAGAAGTCATATCAGCTAGAACTACTCGTTATTTAAACCGTAAATAACTTCAACAACGAATATTTTAATTTGTCATCACCTCTTTGCAGCTATGTGACTACTTTAGCTTCCTATAAAATTTCAGTAATCCCTTTATAAACATTTATGCAAAAGTGTTAAATTCTGTTCTCTGTAAATTGTTGTATAATTTTCAAAAAAGTCGACAACTAAAAGATTCAAAAACTGGCCTTTTATAGAAGCTATCAAGTTTTCCTCTACAAAAAAACTAAAATTATATGGTTTATAAATACCAAAAAAAAAAACCTTTACATAATAGTTTTCTGCAAGGTCTTTTCAAAATCCCTACAGCTTCTCACTGACGTACTGCCATGCGGTATCAATAGGTCATAAAAAAACTTCGTTAATCTCTTCATATATACATTCCAACAAGAATCAAATAAATACATGATTTTAACCTTATAGGTCTCACTTAGACTGTACCTCGAAACCGTAAATGACTTCCAATAAGTAACGAAAAATTCATAACGGTTTAAATTGTTTTATAGAAGCAATTTATTGCTTCACATGTAAGCTATACTCAAGTAAATACTTTTTTTCCGGTTTTCAGCATATTCACACAACAACTCAAAAGAAAAGTGACAGTACAACCACCAATCAAAAAATGTGTGGTACTCTCAACTGATACTACCGCAGCAAACATCATTTGTCCATCTGGTCAGTGGTAGCACAGAATTTCAAAACAATTTGCTTTTCAGCCACTTCAGTTTGTTATAAATATTCTCCAGAAATTTGTAACTTACATTTTTGTGTTAACTCTCCTTCCAAACGCTAGATACAAACGTTTCGGAACTGATTCTAAAGCTTCCAACGAACGCAGTGAAATGTTCGCCAAAGCGTCAGTCAAACGAACTTTAGGAGTAACAGCATTGCAAATATCAATAAAGATTTAAAAATTTAATTTGCTTGTCTTATTACAGCTCAATATTTTCAAGTATTTTAGCGGTAAGTGAATGGTGCAGCGGATTTCGATACATTGACAAGTTACACAGCTGAAGATGGCTCAAGCGGTGGGACCTCAGCCAGTGGCTGCGCAACCGGGACAAGCTTTACAGTCTACAATTGCTCTTATTGATACATGTAATACCATTTTTAAAATATCTGTTTATTTGTC